CAGATGACAGAAGCATTTCTGAGAGAGCATGTTTGGCCCTTGCAAAAGCAGGTGAAGTAATCAGGATTCAGTCTTTTATCTCCGCCTAGCTGACTTTCCTTCACTTCCATCTCCTGTCAACCCTGCAGGGTACCTCTACACTGAGAAGAGTGTAAACACAAATCTGCAGAATGAGTGCTGTACATCTGAACGACTGCTAAGCACCATGAAAGCTGTAAAAGGAGGCATGGTACTTAGACTCACAAGAACTACTAGAGTAGCCTATGTTTTGTTTTGAACCCTGAAAGGAACAACAACAGGTAAACAAACTGCCTTAAGTCACAAATTAGTTCAAGTTACATTATTGAAAGTTCTCAAACAGGAAAAATACTGCTGAAAGGAGGAACATTAAGAAAATCTCATTGGCTATGTCTTTACTGCTATACAACTTAATGTAATTTAGTAAACAAAGAAGGGACTATCAGGGATTAATAAGGACTGTGTAGGTTAAAGGTAAGCACAACTATAGCATGGGTGAAGAGACAGAAAATAAAGGTTATAAATAGTGGAAGAGCACAAGTTTTTCATGAAGGGTAAATGACAAATATAGCGATGTGCATTTAAAACGCACTCATGCAGAAATGTATTTTATACATCTACCTTCTTTGTTTTGCTGGAAGGAAAGAAGGCCAGACTAAGTACATGTAAATATCTCAATCAGTTTCAAATTCCTAATTTGTCTCAAAAAAAAAAAAAAAAAATTCTAAGAAGTAAAACACAAAAACACTAAAAACTGGAAGTCACTACTAGAGTCACCGGATTGGCTTCTAGTCCCATACTCAAGGACGATTTGCTTTTACTTTACGCACTACTCTTGTTGTCTGGTTATCTGTCCTCTCATTTTAGAAGAGAAATATTACAATGGAAAGACACTCCAAAAGCCAAGATATGAGAACAACAGGAAGACAAAAAAAGAAGAAAAAAGCTATAAAAACAGGTATATATACTTCAGTAGTCTTTAGGACATTATCAAACTATAAAACAGCACATTCATAGATTTTTTTTTTCAGTTCTTCCTATTAAGAAACAAGAAGAGTAGCTGGGAGCAATGACTAGTGCCTGTAGTCCCAGTTAGTCGGGAAGCCAAGGTGGGCAGATCGCTTGAGTCCAGGAAACTGAATTCAGTCTGGGCAACAGAGTCTCTGTCTCTAAAAATGGGGAAAAAGAAACAGAAAGAGTTCTGCTATATTTTATTAAAATTCAAGAGCTAAACCGATTATCAGACACCAGCATGTAAAGGAGATGTTAAGGTACAAATTCAGTAGAGGTTAACAAAAAGAACAAAAAATTCAGATTCGAGGCATTTCAAACTGCCAAGAAAACAAACAAGGATGTAGATAGTTCCTAGGCTAAAGGCTTTTCCTCCCTTTTTAAAGCTATTAAAAATAAAAGAGTAAAAGTTGCTCAACAGTAACAAAGCCCAAAAGTTCTCTCATGGCTCTATGTGTTCACTGAAATGATAGTTATTGCTTAAAACAATAGGCCAACTACACCTCTTTATAGTTTTGAAGTGTTTAAAAAAGAAAAAGGCCACAGTTTATAGATTTTATTTTAGACATAGCTGATTACTGAGTTCAGATGAAAACTTAGCTTAATGACAATTATGGAGAGCTGAAAATAAACACTATCTCTAGCCTCTCTGCTATGGTTTAAATGTTCATGTCCTCCCCCAGAATTCATACGCTGAAATCTTTACTCCCAGTGTGACAGTATTAGGAGGTGGGGCCTTTGGGAGGTGATTAGGTCATAGGGGTAAAGTTTTCTAAGTGAGATTATTGCCCTTATAAGAGTAATCTGAGAAAGATCCCTCTTTTTTCACCATGCAAGGGCACAGCAAGAAGGAGCTTAATTGTTTCATCTGGCTATTCTATGACCCAGAAAGCAGGTTCCCACCAGACACAGTATTCACCAGTTCCTCAATCTTGAACTTCCCAGTCTCCAGAACTTTAAGGAATAACTCTCTTTTAGAAGCTATCCAACTTATGGTATTTGTTTATAAGCTATCCAACTTATGGTATTTTGTTAGAGGAGTCTGAACGGACTAAGAAATCACTTAAGAACATAAAATTCTTGAGAACAGATGCAATTTTCTCTCCTTATACTTTAAAAAGATTTGATGATAACATTACTCTAAGTAATGACTATCAAATCTTATCTCTAAAGCCCTGATCCAAACTCCAAATATACATCATTAACTTCCTACCAATTGTTTCTACTTGAATATTTTGTCATCTTCTCACACTAAACATGGGATCAAACTGAAAAATAATCCTGTAATCCCGTGCTTTGGGAGGCTGAGGTGAGCGGATTGCCTGAGCCCATGGGTTCGAGACCCACCTTGGCAACTTGGCGAGACCTCATCTCTACAATAAATAAAAAAAATCAGTCGGGCGTGGTAGTGCGTGCCTATAATTTCGGCTACTTGGAGGCTGAGGCGGAAGGATTACCGGAGCACAGCAGGTCGAGGATGCGGTGGCCAGGAGCGGCCACTGCACTCCAGTCTGGGTGACAGAGTGAGACTCCAACTCAAAAAAAAAAAAAAAAAAAAAAAAGAGCCGGGCTCGGTGGCTCAGCCTGTAATCCTGCGCGCCTTTGGGAGGCTGAGGTGAGTGGACTGCCTGAGCCCGTGGGTTTGAGACCCGCCTGGGCAGCAAGACCTCATCTCTACAATAAATCAAAAAATCAGCCGGGCGTGGTAGCGCATGCCTGTATTTCCAGCTACTCGGAAGGCTGAGGCGGAAGGATCGCCGGAGCCCAGCAGGTCGAGGCGGCGGTGGCCGGGAGCAGCCACTGCACTCCAGTCTGGGCGACAGAGTGAGATTCCAACTCAAAACAAACAAACAAACAAACAAAAAAAGAATCCCATCCTTCACCCTTACTCCCTTCAAGCCAAACCAGCTTCCTATTTTGATTTTTCAATCCCTGTTACGTAGGCTTAAAAATCACCGTATGATTTCCATTCAGCTGCTATTGCAATCACCCCAGTGCAGGTACTTAATCATTTCATTTGGCTATGAAAGAGTCTTCATTGGTTTGTGCACTTCTACTTTCTTTCTTTACATTATGGTGACTGGAGTCTTTCTAAATCACAATCTTTTTCTGTTACTCCCAAATTTAAACATTCTTCAGTACCTACAAGATACAGCTGGAAGTTAGACCTATCTGACTGACATTTAACATTATTGAGATGACCTGGCTGGTTATGAAAGTGTCTCCTTCTTCCCTCCATACTTAGTGGGTATCCCTTGCAAGTCCACAATTCAAAGTCCGTATGTGAGCAAGGCTTGGGATGCTCAGGCTTCCAGTGGCCTTTTGATTCTCTCTTCCTTTAAATCACTTGAACCTTATGTCACCCTGTCAGTCTACTTCTCTATCAAACATGCACATTACTCTAGCATACCTTTTTCCCCTCTTAACCAATATTTTGTCTATTTTAAGGATCTACATGAAATTTCTTTTTTTTAAACAAAATAATACTTTAATGATATTCTCAAATTAGCACACCTCCTTTTAGTACTGTACTGTATAGTGACCACCGGGCAGAATGTCAGAAACATTTTTATATGTAAAATATACAATGTCTACATCTAAATATTATATGGTCATATCTGCCAAAATATCAACATGTAACTGACATATATATACATAAGACTAAAATGAATGCAATCTTATGTGCTCAGCTGATGAATGCTAAAAGGCTGTGCCATGCTCTTATGTGAAGGATGCTGTGCAATCTGGTAACTCTGCTGTTTCCTTTACTGCCATTGTAATATTTTCTGGTGAGTAATTTTCACTCATAGTAGCTTAAAAACAACAACAAAAAAGTGAGTGATAGTGCTGGTTTTGGTAGATCCCAAAGAACTGTTAAAGGAAACAAGAAAATATCAACAGACTGCAATTTAATAAAAAGCCTTTTGATGTTATGGAAGGGAATATAAACATTGCTGTTTCCCAGGAGAACTGAAAACAATTTGTAAGGGGGCACCTGGAAGAGAGTATGGCTGAAGACCTATCATGACTTCAGAGGATGTGAAAAGCACAGGAAGAGGGGCTAGCAACGTGCTATGGTGAGACCCCTCTTCACAGTACTAAGCTACACCTACTCTGTGTCACAGCACTACTGGTTCTCCTATTTCCAGAGTTGCACTCTCCCATACAAAACTGAGTGTGCACGTAATGGAAGACAAGTCAAACATGGAGCCCGTCCATTGCTTAAAACAAAACTCAGGCACCTGCTATGAATGAATCCACCTCCCAGTGTAGCTTACAACAGGTCCAGCTCAGTCCCAACTGCTCTAGTCCTTAGATGTGTTCAGATAATGTAAAAACAACGTGGAAAATTGATTTCTTGGTCTATTCATCCTAGGTTATGCTAACTACAGCCCTTTCTTCAATTATCAGTCACTGGTTTGAAAATAATCATAGCAGAATGTATCACTATTACCTTTTAAAAGCATTTGCTGACCAGCCTGGGCAACTTGGTGAGACCTCATTTCTACAGTATATCCAAAAATTAGCCAGGTGTGGTAGCACACGCCTGTAGTTCCAGCTACTTGGAGGGCTGAAGCGGAAGGATTGCCTGAGCCCAGCAGGTCGATGCTGGGGTGGCTGTGAGCGAGCCACTGTACTCCAGCCTGAGCGAAAGAGTGAGACTCTGACTCAAAACAAACAATAAAAAAAACCCCAAAAACATGTGCTACCAATACCAATGTAAAGATCAACAGCTGAACAGCAAGCATTTTTTTTTTTTTTGCCAACTGTTATATGTAAAAGACTGAGGAAAATAGAATTGATGACTTCTATTGAAGAAAGGTGAACATACTCTGTATACTTCTAAAAACGCAAACCCTGAATTCCTCCTTCCAACTATCACAAAAGAGAGCTAACAGAAACAAAAAACCTTTCTCTCTCTTTAGGATAAAGTCCACAGAAAGATCTCAGCAGGAAAAGCATACATTTACCTTATTTTCTTCTAGAAACTTCAATTTGATAGAAACATCATTGCGCATTTTATCATATTTTTCCTTATGTGCTTGGAACAGATGCTGTGACTGCTCAATCTTTGGCAGAGTGTTTGCATCACGTGGTCCAAGATTCAGTTCTTCCAAATCAGTACGATATGCATCATATTCAATCCTGGAAAGAAGAGGATAACTGAAGCCTACTGCAAAAATGGAGTGAGGTATGTTCAAGAATGGGTTGGATATACATAATATTTGGCCTCATACTACACAATAATATATAAAATTCTCATACATAGTCTATGCCTTATGCTTTTGAAATCATTATTTCATTAAAAACAAAGAGCTATTCACACAATGGGAGAAAGCTGTTTCTTTTTTTTTTTTTTGAGTTGGAGTCTCACTCTGTCGCCCAGACTGGAGTGCAGTGGTTGCTCCTGGCCGCTGCAGCCTCGACCTGCTGGGCTCCGGCGATCCTTCCACCTCAGCCTTCCAAGAGCTGGAACTACAGGCGTGTGCTACTACGCCTGGCTAATTTTTTGATTTATTGTAGAGATGAAGTCTCGCCAAGTTGCCCAGGCGGGTCTCGAACCCGCTGGCTCAGGCAATCCACTCACCTCAGCCTCCCAAAGCGCAGGATTGATTACAGGCTGAGTCATCGAGCCCAGCTGAAAGCTGCTTCTTAATCTCATTAACTATTGCTCCCAAAGTGCAGTATTGTTAACTGACAAGTAAGATTTCCAAGATTTAAAAATCAGTTTAAAAAAATAGATGTCAAAACCTAATAGATGTCGAAACAAGATCAAGAGTAGAGATCAACCCCCCATATGAATTGGTTAATATTAATGAGGCAAAGCTGGTAAGGATAGCATACTTTAGAATGGCAAACTAAAACTAGCAGGATAAGAGTCAGTAGAGGGTCAGTGATTCTCAAAGTAAGTCTAGGTCAGCATTGCACAATAAAAATAGAATTCAAACGATATATATAGTTTTAAATTTTTCTGGTAGTAATAGTAAAACAATAAAAATTAATTTCACCGTTTTTTTTTTGAGTTGGAGTCTAACTCTGTCACCCAGGCTGGAGTGCAGTGGCATGTTCACTGCCACCCCAGCGTCGACCTGCTAGGCTCTGGTGACCCTTCCGCCTCAGCCTTCCAAGTAGCTGGAACTACAGGCACACGTTACCACGCCTGGCTAATTTTTTGATTTATTGTAGAGACGAAGTCTCATCACGTTGCCCAGGCTAGTCTCGAACCCGTGGGCTCAGGCAATCCTCTTGCCTCAGCCTCCCAAAATGCTGGGATTATAGGCTTGAGCTACCACGCCTGGTCTCACCTGTTTTTTAACAATATATTTTATCTTACCCAACATATCTCAAATATCAATCATTGCAACATAAAATTAATGTAACAAAATTGCTAATGAGCTACTTCACATTGGGGTGTGGATACCAAGTCTTTGAAATCCACTATCATTTTACACTTCCATCACATCTCAATCCAACCTAGTCACATTTCAAATGCTCAACAGACACATGTAGCAACTCTAGATAAATTCCTATAACATCAGTATCTAGAGTGTGACAATGGCATGTTATACAACATTTATCACCTTGTGTTCCATGAGATTCCTCACCTTAATATTCTCACACCACTAACTGAAATAGCTAGCTCACCACCATCAGCACACCAGGATCCCATAGCTCTTCATAATACCTCTATCACACCTGTGTTAGTAAGTACTACTTTGCTTATCAAACAGTGACTTTATCGAGCAACCCCTTGGGTCCCTTCCTGCTCCAGGAGCTGTTCTGTCCTCTCAATAAATTCTACCTTCTCAGAAACAAAACAAAACAAAAGCAGTGACTTCATCAGCCTCAACAATTCAGTGCTCAACCAAGAAGATGCAAAGTGACGTCTAATTTAGTAACACTATCAGAATCACAAAGCCTGTGCCCTAAAACTAAAGCTCTTTATTCAGATATAATAGGAGTACAATTCACATCTCCTATTCTGGGAATTAAGAATACTTTAGATAACACAATCTATATTGTGTAGATAACTGAGCGTAATTTAGTCTTAACTTGTACTGAATTTAACAAACTTGATAGTTCAGGGCCAAAAGAGGACTATTCATTAATTCACTGAGATATTGATTCATTAAACAATTATCAAGTGAGCACCTTCTATTTTCCAGGTGTTGTGCTAGAAAGTAGAGTTATAAAGATGAACAGGTAAGTTTATCCTCAAGAAGCTTGCAGTCCAGAGAAAGAAAACCTTGTAACTGATGCCAACAAAATAAGATAATGGAAACTACAATGAAAGAAGGTAAGGTATAGTAGAAATCAAGAGGAATAATTAACTAATTAAGTGCCTGAAAAGGCATCTGAGAACAGAATGAAAATACTGCAATTAAAATTTGAAGAATGGTAAAAGCTTATTGGGTGAATTGGGGTAAAGAAATTAGTAGAATATTCCAGGAAGCGATAGCATGGACTAAGGCATAAATTTGTAAGATACATGACACATTTGGGAGTTAATTTAGTATGCCAGAATTTGAAGTTGGAACACGATAACAGAAGGAATTAAAGTCAGACAGGTAGGCAGGATTGAGATTAAGAAGCACTACCTGCCATAAAAGGTTTAGATTAATCCAGCAGGACAGGTGATGGGTAAGTCACTGAAGAACACTGATCTGACATGATTCTATTTGTTCAGGACAGAAAGATGACTTAGCAGTAGTATAACGATAGAGGATGGACTGGAGTAAAAAATTAAGAAATCAGAAGCAAGGAAACCAATTAGAAGACCATAGACACATGAGAAATGAGTCCCTGAGTCAGGACAAAGGCAATGGAGCCAAGAAGACATATACAAAAAAATTCAGGAGGCAAGACTACTTGGTAATAAGAAATTAGTTAAATCCATGGGTTCAGCAGCCAAATTAAATTATGTATTTGCCTTTCACTGGCTCTAAGATTTTGAGCTAGTTATTTTATCTCTGTGCTCCAGTTTTTTAAATCTATAAATGGGAATAATAATCTCTACAAAAACTGCATATATATAAACCACATAGGACACCTGGTAATAACTGATACCTTTAGAATGCTTGTTATTATTGTTGAATTAGAAGAGGAGTTATCTAGAAGCAAACATACTAAAAACAATAAAAAATAAAAGAGGAAAAGTAGAACTAAAATATATAGTAATATGCTATGACTTAATATAAGGACAAACATCCTTCAATAGCCTTGGAGCACGTTTCTAAATAACAGTGATTAGTTTAAACATAATCAAAGTTATAATACTGACCTTATACTCCTTAATTTTTATATTCATAGTGTGTAGATGGTATCAAAGTAAAACTTTCTCTAACAGTGCTCATTACCACCAAGAAGAGAAGCTTACTAAGTTTTCAAAATGCAACTCTTCACTTCAAGGTTGCCAGTCTGCACTGAGTCCATATCAACAAATTTAGTGATGGTTACTTTATGGCTTATGTAAAACTTCTAGAGAACAGGTGTCCACATCTGAAAAGTCTTGACCACAATTGACTCCCTTGTTGGTACTGCTGTGGAGAAGTGTTGAATGGGCTGTTATAAGATTTTCTATACATAAAGCACCAGAGGGCTAGGAAATACTTGTACACAATGCATAATAGAGAGCATTAAAAGGCCATCCCAGCATTTGCCTAAATTACCACTTTCTGTGCTGATCAAATATATGACCCTTGCCCTAAGAGTCAGTAAATTCTGGTTTTGACAGAGAAGAAAATTCAGCTACTGAGAAACTTAAAATCTTTGGTTCTTTTCAACTATTAGCCCTTAATAGGCAATGTTTCAGTGTTACAACTTGCTAATTCCTAGTTACTTCATAAATAACACAGAAGTCAAATCCTAAACTAAGCCTGATGAATAAGATCATATATTGTAATCTTAGTAAGAATAAAAATCACGGAGTGAGGTCATTACTTTTGCTGGTCTTTAAAGTACACAAAGAAGTTATCTAAGTATTTCCTTTAAGTAGCCAGTGACCAACTACATATAATTTGACTTATAATTTTGTTCAAAATAAATCTACTCTATTGTATAAACTGAGATCTTATATTATATTATACTTTAAGTTAGATTTCTCATTATAAGAGGTAAAAATTAGATTTAAAATTTTAGGTCAGTCCAGTTCAAGCTTAAGGCCTAGTGATCAAGTGTAACAGACAGGGAGCCAGTGGGTTCTCATCTTGCTTTGAAATCGACTACAAGTGAGCAGACCACTTCACCTCTAGAGGCTTATTTTTCTTTTCTGCAGATTAAACAGAAAATGTTTTGTGTACAAATAGTGACTTATTTGATAAATCTGGCTTTATTTAATATGGGTTACTATTTTTAAAAGCATGCTAGAAATACAGACAAAAGAGAAAGATATGTTAATTAACAGAATAAATTTCAGGATAGATAGACAATTACAAAGTACAGAAACAAACTAGATTCATGGAGTTCTTAACTGGGAGGTGGGAGGGGTACTTTTGGAACAACAAAACCATTTTCATCTTCAAAACCCATAAATATTAAAACAATCAGAAAGATTAGAAAATAAGAATGCTTAAAATGATTAAAGAGATAAAAAGAACAAATTAGGACATTAAGAATAAGAAAAAGATACATCTAGAAAAGAACCAAATAGAACTTATATAAATGAAATTTTGCATTCATATACACATAATGCATCCAAACACTGTCAATGAAAGCACGTAGAGATTGGAAAACCAATTACTGAGCGTGTTACTGAGAGGACTCCCATTGAAGGATATCTTACTAATAGATACCCCCTGCCCTCACCTACCACACAACCACAGATGCTTGTCTTGACCTTCATTTTCATCATGTTAATACTACACAAAAATTATAAACACAACATGGGACAGAAGCATCTCTTCTTGTAAAAAGATCAAAAATTAACTTTTCCAAGTGATTTGGGCTTTTACTTACTTAAGGCATAGTAAATATGTACTTAAGCACTGAACTGCAAAAAGACTAGAAAGTTTGGAGTTATTATAGGCATTTCTCAAATCATTAAACTAGGGAAAGAGGCCAAAAGTAAAGTTATGCTTCTAAAAGGTAAAGTTTATCTTCAATTATGCTATAAAAAGTATAATGGAAAAATAAGATTTTGAGAATTCAAAGGAAAGTAACTCAGAGGGGATGATACTTTAATTAAAGTGGCAGGGCATATGGAGAAAAAAATTGGGCCTGGGATTAAAAAGTTGACATAGGCTATAATGGGTCTACCACTCTTTACACATTTCTAAGTACTTACTAGTATGTATTTTATTTACCTAACAGGATGGTTGTGAGATAGGAAATTTTATATAACATAATATATATGAAGTAGGATTTAGAAAAACAATGCATTATAAACATCTATCAAAATATAAAACAAATATTTAAATTATGTTAAAGGTAAAATTTTAAAGGGCTTGTTATAATCTGGATAAAGGGAAGACCATTGGTATCTACAACAAACAAGATCATGGAGGTGAAATGAGTTTACATATTTAAAGAAATTGCAAGTACAAGTCTGACTGTTGTGGAAGCGTAAATATGAAGGTAAATTTAGGCCACATCCTAGAGGACCGTCTAGTATCTGCCTGAAGGATACAGGGACCTGTTCTCTTCTAAGGAGCTGGAGCTGGGAGAGCCTCCACTTCCCTATTCACTAGAAGGCAGAGTTTAGGCACATGACCAAGGCTCAGTTAGACACTCTTAAGCCAGTGAACCATGTATTGGGAGCCTTTTGGAAATTACTGATGTTAGCTGTGGCAGCATCAAATACTAGAGACACCCAGCATCAGGGTCCCAGTTAGTATTATTTGGCTTTGTTCTTGCAGTTTCTAGACTCTTGTTCTTTCCATTTCTGCTTAGTTTTGTGGACTATCCTATAACCCTCCAGTACATTTTTTTCTGCCCATATTGGCCAGAATTGGTTTCTGTTGTTCATAACCAAAATCTTACTTGAACTACACGTCATCTATAAAACAGACAATATAATGATAATTTATACCTTACCTGGCACTTTCATACTGTTTCACAGTCATTAATGTATCTTCAATTGTTTTATTCACCAAAGTGTTCACACTAGCGATAAAAAAGTTAATGGCTCCAAGAAGAGTCTCTCCATTTTTAGCCAGCAGTTTCTGGGTATCTGCATTATAGCCAAATTCTTCCTAAAACAAAAAAGTTACCTTAACTTACCCAGTAATAAATTAGTAAATGTGACTTTAAAAAACCTCAAACATATCATTAATAGCAAAATATTTGATTTAGAAATCTAGCTACAGTAGTCTTTTTCTTTCAATCTCAACCACAGCCAGCTATATAATTACTGAAAAAGTCTAATAAACCAAAATTGTCATCAGTCCACATGCACAGCTAAAATCTAAATAATTTCTAAAAGTTAAGATTCTTTGTAGTAAAAAGAATATTTTCATGACTACGTTGTGTTTCTATTATAATATAGGTACAGCTGTTAGGAAGGAAAATAGAGCAGAGTATTAATCAGAGAAACTATAACTCTTACAACCAAATTAGGTAACAATTGGTTAAACCTTTCAGACATAAAGCAGAGTACAATTTTTTGTGTTTTGACTGAATCTGCTTGAAGTATAAATATTAACAATACACATTTCTTTATAAACTCAGTGACCAGCTGACTCCCAAGTGCAAGTCTGTCTAGGCACACAGCTGGGGAAGGATCACTCAACACCAGATTTAGTTCAGTCTCTGAATAAATTCCATCTTGAAGCAGCAAACGTTACATATGACTCCTCCAGACATGAAAAGAACTAACCCTAAATGTTCAGCAGTGAGTTTTCCAGTCCAAGTTTTGCTAATTAACAGATTAATCAGGAGGAATACATCTGACTAAATAGAAAACTGACCACATAATTAAGATGTATATTTTAATTTGAGAATTCTCCAGTTCATTATAAAATACTTTTCAATTTCAGTTGAAACACACAGTGCAATATTAAATTACCCAGAATATTCAAAGAAGCAAGCTTAATGCTATATACAATGGCTATAATTAAATATGTGACAAAGTTTTTAACAATTCAAAAACAGCATGGAAGCAAAATTATCTTTATTATGCTGAAAGCATTTTCCACTTAATAGAGGGCCATGTAACTCTTTACTCTGAACTCAGTCTTCAAAATTTTATTAATCTTGATTTGTAAATATTGGCAGATATAGGATAACATAAAAAGAAAATCAATGTATGTAAATACTAAAATGAAAGGCAGGACAGCTGAAGATTCTGGCACCAAGTTTCCACAAGCTAAATTACACACTGAGTTCTACATAAATACTACTGGAAATAGAATAATATAAGAAAAAAAATTTTTACAACTTTTAGAAAAAGTTAACAGAACATATCACAACTGTACTAATTATTACCCTTGATATTCATTAAGATGTAAAAGGCAAAATTTAAAGATCAACAAGGGAGAGGGAAAAAAAAGAAAGTTAGATTTATATACATACAATAGTTTATAAAAAGTAAAGTTAACAGAAATCAGTTGGACCTTCTTAAAGATTATATATATCTTTTTTTTTTTGGAGTCTCAGTCTGTTGCCCAGACTGGAGTGCAATGGCGCACTCCTGGCCACTGCAGCCTCAACCTGTTGGGCTCCGGCGATCCTTCCGCCTCAGCCTTCCAAGTAGCTGGAACTACAGGTGCGCACTACCGTGCCCGGCTAATTTTTTGATTTATTGTAGAGATGAGGTCTTGCCAAGTTGCCCAGGCGGGTCTCGAACCCGCAGAATCAGGCAATCCACTCACCTCAGCCTCCCAAAGCACAGGATTACAGGCTGAACCACCCAGCCCGGCTGATTATATATATCTTAAATATACATATTATGTTATATATATGTGTGTGCTTTATATATGTAAAATTTTAAAAGAACATTTCCGAATTCCCATTTCATTAAGAGTTCAGCAAATGATAACTATAACAAATTACCTCTTATTATATTTCTATTACCATTTTCTCCCATCCCTAGTAGTTATTTAAAATAATCTTACATGAAGTTCTAGTGACTTCAAACTCAGGTCAGCAAATGCATCTCCAAGTTGCCTTTGGGTATGCACCATCTGGAAAAGCTGGGTGGACAATGTCTGAGCTAGTTTTAAAATATTTTCATATTTTTTCTTGTTATCTCTTAATATATCAATCTGAGCTTCAAGTTCAAGGTCCACAGTTCTTGAGCCACGGCCTAGCTTCTCAGAAATAATCTGTCGAGTACACTAAAAGTGAAAAGACATACTTTGTTTAGAAAGGAAAAGAAAGAGTAAAAGAAAAAAATAATACAGCAATCCAAATTATAAATGCTGAAGTATATGGCATATACCATTTTTTGGCTTCAAACAAGCTAGCCTTACAAACTGAAAATTGTTAGCCCTTTATAAGTTCATTAGGACTCAGAAAGTAAACTTACCAGACATGTCTAATAATTATTACCGACCAGAGGAAATTTTAAGAGTAGCTAACTTATATACTTCCAGAAGAACTCTCTCACATAATCATATTTCAAATTTAGTGCATTCGGGTAGATTATTTAAAACAAATAATAATATTACACTGTTGATATGCAAACAATAATACACAAATTCTACTCTTACTGGTTTCAAATGCTCTTTTACTTCTCTCTCCCCCCTTAAATAGCCCTGTGTGTGTATGACGGGGGAATGAAGGAAAGAAAGAAGGGAGAGAAGAGGAAGGAGGATGAGAGAAAGATCCTTGAGTTCATTTTTACTTTTGCCCAGACGGCATGGCATTACACTGCTCATGTATTCTGCCCCAGAAATAACGATACAGAAACCTATAATTTTTTGAAAGAGTCTAATTTCAGAGCACATGGAAACAAGTTTCCTAGTAATAATTTTTTTTGAAAATTAAAAACTATAAACAACATCACTCAGTAAATCATTTTTAAGAATAACTGGGACATTAATATATTCCTCATTATTACATTATCAGAAATATTCTAAAAGAGTACTAATCATTGCAATTTTTAAAATTTGCAAATTTGTTCTTTGTCATATCTTTCAAAGTTCTGGTTACAGAATTAATGCTTGTTGCAAAACTTAAAATAATACATGAAATAAAAGGTGAATTTCCTCTTCCTTTAACCATATTAAATAGTAGAAAACTACTATTAACAGTTTGATGGGTAGTCTAGATTCTTCTTTAAATATATATAATCACATATACAATATTTTTAGAGTAAACATGAGATTATGCTATACATAATATCCTGATCATTTTTTTCTATAAACAAAATAACTTGAGACTTTTCTTGTCAATATACACAAATCTGCTACTTAATATTTTTCTATTTAAAACTGAAACAAATTTCCCAACATGTTTTCTATTCTCATCAACTAGGGATCTTTATAAGTAAACACTGTTTTTTACAATGTTTTGTAAAAGCAGAGAAATTCTTATATATATAGAAAATATACATAGGATAGGTGAGAGACCAAAAACCACACAAAGAGGATAAAACTATTGCCATGGAAAACATATAAACACACCTCGGGAGTCGAAAATCACAAGAGAAAATTTAGCTGAAGACACCGTGATTTTAATAAGAAAGGCAAGAAGTAATGCCTCAAAGTTAAACAAGATGAAGGAGACAGGTCACTCATTCCCCCACTTTTCTTCCACATCAGGATTTGCTTAATGGAACATTATCAGAGACATATACTCTATTCACAAGCATATGGTACCTTCCATAGCCCTCTAGATATAATAACCCATTGAAAGTCAAGAAGCCAGAATTCATTGAAGGCGCTTTGCTTCTGGGCAAAGTGAAAGAAATGTCTACTGTTGTCTGAGTGGCCATATTTTTCACAGAAATAATGGTTACAAGCAGGCAGGAGGGCTGAAGAGTTAACGAGGAAAGGTTTTCTGTTTCCAGGAAGCTAAGGCAATGGGAAGAGTAAGATGATACCGAATAAGAGGCCAACTAAGATAAGTGTGGATGCTTGAAACAAATTTTGAAACTGAATTCACAGAGCTTCCACTCTCATCAGGTAATTCTGCACTCCTATGCAAAATCTACAGAATCTGGAAATGAGAATACTGCAGACTGCCTCCCTGTAGCTTTGGGAAGAAAGCTGCAGTCCGAAGGCATTAAGTTGCTAGCCACTGCCCCACTCATCAGGTCCCAGAGGAAGTCTCTCAGACGGCCTCTAAGCAGATTTTTATTTAAATTGATTCTTAGTGCATACTGAAGTAAAATGCAAACTTGGAGATCAGTATATATTATAAAGAAGGTTTAACATAGAAGAGATTTAAGAATCTTAAGTTCTCTACTGTTCCTCAAAGCCCTTGCAAATGGAGACCACTTACAATGGGCTGGTGGTGGTTCTGTTCAGTTTTTCATATAAATGAAGAATTCCTTTCGAAGATAACAGGACAAATGATACTAAATTAAAGGAGCAGAAGGAAGCTAAAGCAAATTACTGACCTATATAGATTTCCTACTTGGGAGAAGGTAGGTGAAATAAAGTGATCAATAGTGCACAAAATACTATGAATCACCATTATACTGATTTATGAATTTACAAGACAGTCACTGGGCGTTTTACGTACTTAAGTAGCACCAGCAGCTTTTCTGTAATGCCAAAAAATGAATAAATACATTTAAGTACAAGCAAAAGATAAATTCATGGCAACAACTGGTAGATATAAGCAGGGCTATATAGGGAAAGGATAGAGAAGGGAGCATAAAAGGAAAACCAACAGGTGAAGCGGGTCAACCACTAAATGAATGAGGCAACATGACAAGAAAAACAGGCATAAGAGCTTAAAAGGTATGGTTTAAAGACAACAAAGATTAATTTGATAAGGGTGTGAATGTTAATGGCAGATTCTTAAACACTTTTAAAAAGTATTTAATGTTTGGGAAAGGTGCCAAAGGCTCTAAATGCTGAAACTGAGATTATGCTTAAAAAAAAAAAAAAAAAAAGACAAACTTCAAAAAGCACTCTATTCTAGATTAGGAAAAAATAAAAACAAGCAAAAAGATAAGTCAGAGAACTATTTCTGCAGATGAAAAGAAATAAGAAAACAAATTTCAAATTCACATTTTGTGAATAAAATAAGGTAGATTAAAATAATAATTAAGAAGATAAGTTTAAGGCCTAAACTTAAATCATTCCTATTATATATTTGCTTTGAGTCACCAGGCTGGCCTTGGGGTCAAAATCAGCAACCAATAAATGAAGTGCTAAATATTCCCTTTGAGAAAAAGCCTTAAAGCATTGGTTAGAGAATAGAAACAGAACTTGAAAGTAGTAACCATGAAAGGTAAAGGATCAAAGTCAGAGCCAAAATCAAGTGACTCAAGCATAAAATGGAGAACAAGCACGCTCCTAAATCAACCAAATCAGAATCAGTACCTGAAACATTATCCAAATATGAACACCCAACATTAGCTACAATTTGGACTGAAAACAGGTCAAAAAGTCATGAGAACACAGAGCCATGTAAACCCAATAAGGTCATTATACCCTGAGCTTCCTTTGGTCAAGAGGAGTATGCCAGCCTGGACACATTGGGCTACAAACTCCAAAAATATCAGAAGTTGGTAATTTCTTTTTCTCTTTTGATCTCAACTGAAGATCCAAGTTAAGTTCTAATGAAAAAAAATTTCATTTCAAAATAAAGTTTGAGACAATCAATGCTTCCTTCATATAGTATTATACTATGTATGCAACATTTTAACGAGTTGTCATTTCCTGGCTTGAGGTCAGGAGTTCAAGATCAGCCTGCAGCTAAATGTCTGTTAACATAAGAGAAAAATACACAATCTTAATGATTCAACTCAGATTACTGTAGAGTAAGAGACAGAAGAAAAGGAACAAATAATAACACAGAGACACAAAGGTACAAAACACCAACTAAACAACACAAGAGAGGGCAGCTCAAAAATGAACAAAAACTTAAACTTTAAAAAGAAAGTATTTTGTAATTACTCAGATTTAGCACAGAAATAAAGTCTGTGTTCTTAAGGTTAAAAAATGTATGGATGTGGAATATTAATAGTTAGAGGCAAATTTCATGAATAAGTGAACAAAGACATGGTTGAATAAATTAATGTAATAAATAAATTGAATGTAGCTTAGTCTGATATGAAAGATAAACAAGTAAAATGAGGGGGAATTCCAAGTAGTAGGCAAATATAGTCTCATGAAGAAAGTGATAGAAGTGTGAGAAAGCACAGACTGTGTAGGAAGTCCCTGAGTCACTGGGTGTGGATCACTGGATCCACAGACAGAAGAGGGGTGTAGTAAGAGATCAAGATGAAAAGGTAGATGGAAGTCAGTTCATGCCATTCTAAAGACAATGAAGATTGCTGAAGGTTTATAAGCAACAGTGAACCCATTAGACAGAGTAGAACATTTATTCTAAGAGAATTTGTTAGGAAGCAATTATAGTAATATGAAAGAGTAATAAAGATATGAACGAATCCCAGTGCTTTCAAAGGCCGAGGTGGGAGGATGGCTTGAGGCCAGGAGTTTTGAGACCAGTCTCAGGCAACATAGCTGCATGCAGTGTCTATAAAAAATTTTAAAAATTAGCCAGGCATGATTGCACATGCCTGTAATCTCTGCTACTCAGGAGGCTGCGGTGGGAGGATTGCTTGAGCCCAGGAGTTTGAGAGCCATGATTGTGCAGTGAGCCATGATTGTGCCACTGCATTCCAGCCTGGGCAACAGAGTGAGATCCTGTCTCAAGAAGAAAAATAAAGGTATGAACTATAACTGTGAAGGTTGGGATGGGGAAAAGGGGAAAAAGTAAGAGAATATGGCAGAATGCATAGGATTTAATGACTTGCTGGCTACGTGGGATCAGCAAGAAGATGGAGTAGAAATTTGTGAATATCTGGCTGAACTGTTGTGAGATGAGGAAATACAAAGGCAAAAACAATACATGGAATGAGATAATTCACATCTCTAAGATCAGAAAGGGCAATGATTTGATGAAATGTCCTGCAGGAGAAGAGTTTAAGAGGCACCACTTTCTGAAGACTCCCATTAGCATTTCTCAGATTCTACACTGACATGAACTAAATAATTTTTGCAAAGATTAACGTAACATGCTTCAGGACATCTCAAGAATACCTGTGCTTTTGCACAGACTTCAGATCATATCTTAAAAGTATTAACTTAAAGAATAAATTCACTTTTGCATTACTCTTGAGAAAATACATAAGACAGATCTGCCCTATATTAAAAATATAGACAATCCCTGATTTACTAGCAATTAGACCTACAACCAGTTCATGAATATAGAAAGAGTTGTGGCTAATGCTCTAATCTGAACTGCTAAGGCTTTTATTCACTTAATTGCTCCACAAATTCTACTGTCTTGTCCCTGTTAACATTCAAAGGTATCATGGAGGGCACAAGAAAAACAATTTTTAATTTAATTACCCATTACTCTGAAGTAATGCAACTAAGAAAGTTTACAAACTTTAGAAACCCAACTCAAAGCAATCTGGTGCTGTCCATACAGTTAATGCTTAGGTATTACAGCAAGATCAGGGAATTTCAAACTTTGGAGACCTAATATATCTCTCTCTCGACCTTCAGCTGCTATAAAGTATCAATAAGCAGGTGGGGGAAGCAAATATACTTATAGCAGCTTTACAGCTAAATATATTCTGAGGCAGGACATTTCTTCAATTATATACATTATCTGTCAGTTAATGAGCATTTTAATAGCTTTTGCATTTTAAAACTTCTTTTGCACTAACTTTTAAAATTACAGGCAAAGATCAATAATAAAACAAATACTCATTTTCTAATTGTATCTCCACCATGTTTAGATGGCTTTATTCTCTCCACTATATTCATATAGCTGTAATACAATAATCTGAATTACAAACAAGTGAAAATTCTTAGAGCCATTTAGGGTGGAAACATTAAAAAATTACAAACCTTATAGGTGTTTAGACTCCACTTTCTAACAAGTTCTAGCTTTTCCATTGCAGGATTTTTAATTTCATCTGCTAAAATAACTGGTCCACTTTTTGTCTGTGTTCTCTGGCCACCTGTATGATAATAACAAAAGATAAAAACACCATCCAGGCAATGACAAGTAGGGAAAGAAAACAAAACATTGATGTTGTTCAAATTAAACCACTTATGCATCTAAAAAATTTTTTTAAAGTGCCCACAAAGTGAAGAATTTCTTGGGATCACTGAGAGTTGTAGCTAACACTCTAATCTGAACTGTTTTTGGCTTTTATTCACTTAATTGTTCCACAAATTCTACTGTCTTGCCCCTGTTAAGATTCAAAGATATTATCCTATCCTCAATTGCTTAAAAAAAATTTCTATCCATTAAACACAAATACCATGTGGTTTGTTGTCTCACTTAAAAAAAAATGATCCTGCACTCAGCCTTCTTTTCTATATAAGCTGCTATTTACCTGAAGAAAAATAAAATTTCCATAACTAATCTTAACTTAATGAACCTAAAAAAGAACTATCTTTGTCAATAAAAATCTAGAATGACACATTCTCGACAGTGATCTCCTTTCACTGTAATACATAGACCGGAATAATAGAATATTGTTATAATTTTGAAGAATTTGAAAAAATAATTCACATTTCATTAAATACCAGAAAGGGATCCCCAAAAACCAGAATTTATTTATTAAAAAATGTGTATTCATTCTTACATGTTTAAACTTTAAACTATTCTCCATTTGATGCAATATGCCCATCGAGACCCTTTTCTTCCTGCTCAACACAGTTTTGGAATTCATCCATTTTGATGCCTTTTTAGTGCTTCTGCTGTTTTTTGTTTCACCTCTTCCACAATGGCAAAATGTTTCCCTTTGAGGACTTTTTCCATGGAAAACCAAAAAAAAAAAAAAAAAAAAGCCGCTCAGGGTGAGATAGGGTGAATAGGGAGGGTGGGGCATAGGGGGCATGCCATTTTTGGTCAAAAACTGCTGAATACTCAGCACAGTGTGGAAAAGTGTGCTTGTAAATTGCCCATCAAGAAATGGGTAAAAAAAATGCACTGAAGCTAAATGCAACCTCTCACAACGACAATAGCTGATACACTGTTCCCAATGGGTTCCTAGAACACTTACCTAGTGGGGGAAGCTTGTACTACAAGGGGCCCGACCCTCCAAAAAATAATTCCAGTTTTTTTTTGGTCCCCTTAGTAGTTCAATTCAAATAGTCATTAAAAATATCTTACTACTAGCATGAAAAGCTGGGGTGAAAGAAGACCTATCTTGCACTTCTTTTTTCTCAAGAGATCATTTAAAAAGTTTTTAAAAACCCCACAAAAACAGCCATAACAAATAAAGGTAGTGTAAAGTCCTGCCAATGTACTGTGCCAACAATTAAGAATGTATGATATGAAAGCAATTCTACAGCTATAAAGTTCCTAATAGTAAAATATTTTTCATAGCAAAGAAATATTTCACAAATGTTTATGATACCAATGGTTTCAGATGGAAACTTTCTAAAACAATTTCATAGTTTTAAAACTATGAAATAAGGAAAACAGAAAAAGTTGTAAAAATGATTTTAAAAAATTAGGGTCAACAAAAACTCTGGAACAGTCTTTACCAGGCTAAGATTGAGAAGAGTATATAAAATGAAACACATTTAAGAATTGACAAAATTCTCATAGGAACAAAATATAAATGTTAACACTTTATATAAGAAGAAATGTGGAGTTCACCGTTTCTCCCATTTTTATAGTCCAGTAACATTAAAGTGCAGAGCAAATTCAATGTGAAGACAGTGAATTTTCCCAAGTATTTTTCATTGGGTATGACTGGTAAATTACATAGTGTTTTGTTGCAATCTCCAAACTATAAGTTAAGACTGTAAATAAGAAGACACAACCTTTTCCGCTTAGTCCACTTTCAAAAGTAAACAATCCAATTGGTGAAGGTTCCTTTTTTAACTGAAAACAAAAGGCAGAGCTGCAAAGCTGAGAATTTAGGAGGAAATAAGTGCACCTACATTTTCCAGAGTAAAGAAAGATTTAAAATCAAATTTTACAATGTTTTTAATTTTAAAATGGGTTAAATTTCAGGTTTGCGATACAGACTAACTGCTTTGAAAAGCCAGAAAGATAGGCTATGGCTAGGAAAAGTATTTCCCTTATTGTTAATAAGGCAGCCACTAAAAAAGCCCGAATAACACACACCTCTGAATATAAGCAAGTAATTATGAAACTGAGTGAATTAGTTTAGCTTCAGCAGTAGCAAAAAGGGCTTTATCCAGTCAGTGCAGTGAATACCTGCAGGAACAATTAAATCATTTCCTTGTTGAGCAAGTCGACTAGCTGCAACCCTGCTAGGTGACATAACAGATGGCAGTGGTGGTGCTGAGGAACCTGAAAAGGGTAGACATTTCAACTGTGAAAATCCTTTTCTTCCTCCACACACTGTACATGTTGAATATTGGGGTTGCTGATATTTCCTTTAAAATGTTCAAATACTAGAACTAAAAAGTATAATAAATAGATGCTACCAGGATAAATTCTTATATAAACTTTTCATCAAAACTAAACAAGACACATAACTATATGAAGAAATCCAGCAAGATCACATATAAACAGGATTTTACCTGGACTCTGTTATTTCCCAAATTAGTTAACAAAATGTGATTACAGTCCCATAGTTGAATGATTTAAATCTCAAGTAAATATTTCATAACTTGCTACTCTTACATACAAAGGAAGAACTCTTCAAGGAAAAATCTAAAGGCATGCAACGGATATTAAAAAATGCTTTAATATTTCTTATAAGAAATGTGAATGAATTATAGCTTTCAAAGGAACTGAAGCCAAAATTGTCAAATCATATATCAAATATCCTGTAGTATATATCCTTGCTATTCATAATATGGATGCAAGAGATCTACATCAATAAAGTCACCTGGAAGCATGTTAGTAATGCAAAATCTCAGACCCTGTCCCAAACCTACTGATCCTAAACCTGCATTTTCACCAGATCCTCTAGTAATTAGTATGTACTTTGAAGCTTGTGAAGTGTTGGTGTGGAGTATTTTCTGACTGATCATAAGAATCACTCCTGAAGCTTTTAAGACATACTTGAGACACTTCGCAAGATCTACTGATAATCAATGACACAGGCATCTGTTGTTTTTTCGAAAGCCATTCAAGATAATTCTCAAACGCAACCAAATTTGAGAACCAGAAGAAAGAATATAACTTTTGAGTGAAACATAACTAAGTTTTAAATTTGAGCTCTGGGTTTGAAATACTGGCTCTATCCACCACATAATATTAGGAACACTCTGGCAAATTATTTAACATCTCTGTGTCTTAGTTATCTAGAGTAAGAAATATTGACTACCCAACATTACTGCTAATGTCTAGCATTTAAATTTTAAAAAAGGGGAATGATAATTTAAAAGAAGTTGAAAAAATATGAAAGTCCTTTCACATTTTGAGAAAATTTTAATGTCTATAATGTACCTTTATTTTAATTACACTCTTCCCCAGTTGTTTGGAAGATATATATCAAAAATTCATAATTAAATGTTCTAATAGGAAAGATCAGTATCTTTTTTTTCTTTTTTTACCTACAATTAGTAATAATTGGCCATACCTCAGATGTACTACATTCTGATGAAGAAATAGTCATCAGTCCTAACAGTATAAAAACCTTAATTTGGACTGGATCTCACATTAAAATTCAAACATCAGTAGACCTAAGTTGATTGTTGCTACCTTTCCAAGTGAGATATACTGTCTTTAAATCTGTCGAATTAAAAATTTTAATACTGGAAGGGATGACAGAAATCAACTAGACTGAGCTCTCACATTAAACTGTAACAGAACTGAAGTCCAGAGAAGTTAAAATGGTTTCTTATTAGAGACTCAGACATTCTGAAAATCACAATGTCTTCATTATTACATTCAATACAGAAAATACTAATCTCTAAGTTACTTGCTGAGTTGGGAGGCATTTTAATAGGTTATCCAGTTCAATCATCATTTAAACAAAGACCGTATCTCTACTATCCAAGGCAGAAGAGATTCTATCATAAGGAAGTGTTAATAAAAGAAGACTACTGTAGTTCCATGTCTTGACCCCAGGAACAGAGCTCTGCTGTTCTAGTTATTATAGCTTATTAACTTGCATAAAAAATACCACGATACAACATAAGATGTGCATAATATATATAAGAAATGATACATAATTTTCCAAACTAAAATGGAAATGATGAGACTTCAGCTTTTTTGCTTTACCCCACAAAGATAATTATCACTTCTCTGTATCTTCGATATTTTAACCCTTAAACTACTAACTTAGCTACCAAAATCAGTCACCAATACCAAATAAAAAATAACTCTTAAAAATCCAGGATCTTGCTAAGTGACAAATTGGGGGAATCAAATCTGTTTCATCTCACCAACAAAAATTTTGAAATATGAATATATTTATATATAATGATTGAAATCCCATTAAAATAAAACCCTGTTACCAAATGCACATCACTCTTACGAGCTTTGATTTATTAATGATTTCCACTATTATTGATTCTGCAACATCTCTGTTGCTAGGCAGCTTTCTATATTTGTTGTTTTTAAGATGAATTTAAGTATAATTTATTCTAAATTTGCTCTAGATATAGATAGAAAAGTAGATGACTAAGCCTTTGTGTGACAGTTCAAATAATACAAATTCATTATTCAGTTATCATTCAGTCATTTTTCCTGAGTTAACACAGCCCCAAGTCCTTTGACTTTTTTTCAAAATACCCATTTTCTAAATTTTAATCATTATGCTGTTCTTCCCAATGTTCACTTCAACTTATCTACATATATCTTAAAACAACGGCACTAAAATATGACTTTCCAATAAATGCTTAACTAAATATGGAAGAATTATTATCTTTTTAATACACTGATCGATAATGCAGCTTGGGTTAAAGCATGGTATTTATTTGTTTTTATTTCAAAGATGTGGGCTACAAGTCAGGATTGGGTATGTAAGTGGTTTACGTACAAGTGAAGACCGGGCCTTCCAACGGACCTCACTTCACCTGGATTAGGAGCAGGCACCCTTATTGATGTTATGTGCCCTCCCACCTACCCATTTCGGTAGTGTCCCGCTACTGCCAATCCCTTTCTTATAGTATTATGCTAGATGTTCAGGGTCCACTTATGAGTGAGAACATGTGGTACTCAGTTCTTTGTTTCTGTGATAGGTTACTAAGTATGATAGACTTCAAACCCATCCAAGCCGCTGTGAAGTTCATAATTTTGTCCTTCTTTATGGCTGCATAATATTCTATCATGTATATGTATCACAAAAAATGCTTTATAAGCGCAATTCAAAGAAACATAAATTACTGACATAATCATAAAACATATTTTTAATTCCAATTTGAAGGATTAGGATGTATCTATAAGTAAGTGAAACTGACAGGTATTTTAAAGTTCACACATGGCAGTTTAAAATGGCCCATTGATTTTGATTATTGTATAATAATACTGTATCACTTCAGGAAAAAAGATGAAATTAAATGTCAGCTAAATAATTTCATTAAAAATACTTAAAATATCTTAAAGGTAAAATTAGTTTTTTATTCTAAATTTTGAAATTGGTGATTGGTCCAAAAATGGCATCAAATTATGCAAAGTAAGCCTTATATTTTTAAGCATTCTTAGTTTTAGGTACTCAGTCAACCTTTAAATTCAAAGTTATCCCCTACATAAGAATGCCAGAATGCTTCAGAATGATTGCTAAGATATTAACATGCTTACTCCCTTTTTATATCTTTCTTTTTCTAAACATAAGAATGGAAAGATAAAACACGATGTCACTAGATAATGCATTCATTTCATAGCTACAGTAGAGGATATTATCCTAAATGCTTATTTTCAGGACTTATATAGTAAATAATATATTTAAAAATCTAAGGTGTTCTTGAAATAAAGTACTGGCCAACAGTACCATAAAAACGCAGAATATTATAATCTGCAAGATGGCTAAGGATTGCAAAGGAATGGAGATCTTTTTCTTCATTTTGTGAAGTTTTGATGCAGCATTAAGATTAATATATGCCAGGCTGGGGGCAGTGGCTCAAGCCTGTAATCCTAGCACTTTGGGAGGCCAAGGCAAGAGAACTGCCTGAGCCTACAAGTTCGAGACCAGCCTGGGCAACTTGGTGAGACCTGGTCTCTACAATAACTTTAAAAATTAGCTGGGTGTGGTGGCACACGCCTGTAGTTCCCACTACTTGGAAGACTGAGGTAGAAGAATCGCCTGAGACCAACAGGTTGATGATGCTGGGGTGGCCGTGAGTGTGCTACTGCACTCCAGCCTGGGCAACAGAGTGAGGCTATGACTCAAAAAAAAAATTAATATATGTCAATGAACAACTATAGCTACTACTTTAACTACAACACTGTCAAAAAAACAATCTATTTTTCACATTCAAATGTTTACATGGTTTTACTTTCTTTTACTCATGTAACAATAAAAAACAGTTGAAAAAGTTATAATAGGCAAGAGCATTAAAAAAGAAGGCAATTTCTTTTCATTAAAAACAGACATACATACAGGATGTGTGCAGAAAAGGGTTAACATAGCAGGTCTAACTGCCTAGCTAAAAAAAGGTCTGCTTACAAGATTAGTTCTTAGCTGGCTTCTGGGAACTTGAATTCTAGAATTCCCTCCATTTCCCAAATGATTAAGAGTGGTGCACTGTGCTTAAACTGTCTATATTAACTATGTGGTTTATTCTGCTTACCTGCTTTCCTTCTGGAAGTCTAGAATCTTGGTATATGCCAGGTAAAGGATGCCTATGTGAACAACCCCCAATAAAAACCCTGAGCACTGAGTCTCTAAGTGAGCTATCCCGGTTAGCAACATTTCACATATGCTGTCAGATCTCATATTGCTGAGGGAATTAAGCAATCCCTGTGGATCTGCACTGAGAAAAGACTCTTGGAGCTTATGCCTAGTTTTCCCCAGACTGTTCCTTATCCACCTTTTGCCCTTACGGACTGTGTTTGGTATTCTTTCATTGTAATAAATCACAGCCATGACTGTGACTATATACTGAGTAATGTGAGTCTTCTTAGCAAATTACTGAACCTCCTATACAGCATATATACTAGGAAAAATAAAGGCTTATTTCCCTATTGCTTTGAAATAGGAAATATATGTTTATATAAGTCAACACTGAGGTAAAGCTATAAATTTTGTGGCTACAAAGTAAGATAATCTAAATATATTTTTGACACAATTTTTGAGTTTTTATTTCAGTATTTTAAAACCAATTCTTAAATAATCAGTGAAAATATACACATTGATCTATTTATAAAAAGACTATTAATACAATTTATAAATTACTTAAACTGAAGAGAAAAAGGATTATGCTTATAATCAATGTTTTATCACAGAATTGCGCTTTCCAAGTAAAGGTAGCACCTCTCTCATTCTCTATCCCAGCCTCTTTATAAATATATGGGCTCTTACCTTGAAATGCTCCTGCGTCAATAATCCCCTCTTTGGTACTGTCAAAGCCATGAGATGTAATTTGAGTTTCTGAGAGACCAAGTCCAGATGGTAATGAACGCTTCAAATCCTTAGCAACATTTGAATAAAAGAAAAAAATCTATGTAAAAAATTCCATATAACAGATCAGAACAGTTGTGTTCTAATCACATTTTAAATATTTTCCTCTCTACTATGTAGTATTCCCTTATAATTCTATATAAAGATGTATAATTAGCAGGAAATACAGCAAGATTTGCTACTAAGTGGTATAGTATATGTCCCATAAAACACACTTTCATTATTCTGGAACTAAGCAGCAGACAGATATTAAAATTCAATTTAAAAATTTTAACTTAGCTGGGCTTGGTGGCTCAGCCTGTAATCCCATGCTTTGGGAGGTTGAGGTGAGTTGACCGCCTGAGCCCGCAGGTTCGAGACCCACCTGGGCAACTTGGCGAGACCTCATCTCTACAATAAATAAAAAATTAGTGGGGCATGGTAGCGCATGCCTGTAGTTCCAGCTACTTGGAAGGCTGAGACGGAAGGATCCCCAGAGCCCAGCAGGTCAAGTGCCACTGCACTCCAGTCTGGGTGACAGAGTGAGACTCCAACTCAAAAAAAAAAAAGAAATTAACGTACGGACTTATCAGGAAAATTATTTTAATGAACAAAATTAGTATCATTAAAATGACACATCTAACTTGTAAAAATTAAACTGCAAGATGTAAAAACTGACTGATGTCTAATATAATCATAATGAGCCCAGCTAATGCTCAGTATAAGTAAATCACTCACTTGCAATGTTAATTTCCCTTCAATTTCAAGATTAGCTTGACTTCAGTCAAGGCGAGGTAAAATTTTCTTTTAGATCCAACAAAGAAAGAGAACTACAGGCCAATATCTTTAATGAACATAGATGCTAAAAGTCTCAACAAGATCCTAGCAAACCGGATTCAGCAATACATCTCAAAAATCATCCACCATGACCAAGCAGGCTTCATTCCTGGGATGCAAGGCTGGTAAAACCATAAATGTAATTAAATACATCAACAGATGTCAAAACAAAAAACCACATGATCATATCTTTAGATGCAGAAAAAGCTTTTGATAAATTCCAGCACCCCTTCTTGATAAAAACCCTTGAACATCTAGGCATACGGGGAACATACCTCAAAACAGTAAAAGCCATCTACGAGAAACCCACAGCCCAGCATACTCCTAAATGGACAAAAATTGGAACCAATAACCCTGAAAACTGAAACTAGACAAGGATGCCCACTCTCACCCCTCCTGTTCAACATAGTATTGGAAGTCCTGGCTAGAGCAATCAGAGAAGAGGAGGCAATCAGAGGTATTCAAATAGGAAAAGAGGAAGTTATCTCTCTTTGCAGATGATATGATTGTGTATCTTGAAAACCCAAGAGACTCTGTCAAAAGCCTCCTTACATTGATAAAGGCCTTTGGCAAAGTCTCAGGATACAAAATAAATGTACAAAAGACAATCGCATTTCTCTACACCAATAATAAACAAATAGAAACCCAAATAAAAAACACAATTCCATTCACAATAGCCACAAAAATAATGAAATACCTTGGCATCTTCCTAACCAGAGACGTGAAAGACCTTTACAATGAAAATTACAAAACACTGCTCAAAGAAATCAAAGATGACACGAACAAATGGAAAAATATCCCATGCTCATGGATTGGAAGAATCAACATTGTGAAGATGTCCATCTTACCTAAGGCAATCTACAAATTCAATGCAATACCCATTAAATTACCAACAACATTCTTCTCAGACCTAGAAAAAACAACACAGGAGTTCATATGGAAACACAAACGTCCAAGAATAGCCAGAACAATCCTCAGCAAAAAAAAACCAAAGCAGGTGGTTATCACAATACCAGACTTCAAACTTTACTATAAAGCTATAATCATCAAAACAGCTTGGTATTGGTACAGGAACAGGCATATAGATCAATGGAATAGAATTGAGATTCCAGAAGCAAAAGCTCAATTTCTTAACCAACTCATCTTCGACAAAGCCCCCACCACTTACCACTGGGGAGAGGAGAACCTATTCAGTAAATGGTGCTGGGAAAACTGGCTGACCACATGCAGAAAATTGAAATAGGACCCCTATCTATCCCCATGCACAAAGGTTAACTCCAAATGTATCAGAGACCTAAATGTAAAACCTCAAACCATAAGAACCTTAGAAAAGGAAGGAAATACCCTCATGGAAATCGGAACTGGCATCCAATTCCTGAACAAAACCCGAAACCCACAGGTCATAAGAGAGAAGATAGACAAGTGGGACCTTATTAAACTGACAAGCTTCTGCAAAGCCATAGAAACTGACAAGCTTATGCAAAGCCAAAGAAACCATCAAGAGAGCAGGGAGACAGCCTACAGACTGGGAAAAAGTATTTGCCAACTCCAGGTCTGACAAAGGCTTAACATCCTGGATCTACAAGGAACTGAAACGTACTGAAAGGAAGAAAACAAACAACCCCATTATAAAATGGGCAAAAGATATGAACAGACACTTCACAAAAGAAGACATCTGAGCAGCCAACGAACACATGAAGAAATGCTCAACCTCACTAATCATCAGGGAGATGCAAATCAAAACCACACTGAGATACCACCTAACTCCAGTCAGAATGGCAATTATCAACAACTCAAAAAATAACAGCTGCTGGAGAGGGTGTGGTGAAAAGGGAACACTTCTACACTGTTGGTGGGAGTGTAAACTAGTGCAACCTCTGTGGAAAGCAGTGTGGTGATTCCTAAAAGCTCTAAAAATCGACCTTCCATATGACCCTGCAATCCCCCTACTGGGAATATACCCTGAAGAACTCAAATCACTCTATAAAAAAGATACCTGCACACGTATGTTTATCGCAGCGTTGTTCAAAATAGCAAGAGCCTGGAAACAACCATGCTGCCCATCAAAAAAGGACTGGATTTTAAAAATGTGGTACATATACATGATGGAATACTAGCAGCCATAAAAAAGACAAAAATCATGAATTTCGCAGCAACCTGGATGGAACTAGAGTCTATAATACTGAGTGACCTCTCACAGAAACAAAGATCCGAGTACCACATGTTCTCACTCATATAATGGACCTTGAACATCCAATGTAATACTATAAGAAAATGACTGACGGTACTGGGAAACTATGGGGGGGGATGGGG